AATGTTTGGCTATTATCAAATTGTTCACTTTGTTCAGTGATTTTTTTTTAAATTTTTCTTTGGTTTTTTTTCTGGCACCAGGAATCAAACTCATGACCTTGCACTTGCCAGGCAGGCGCTGTGCCGCTGAGCTATATCCCCAGCCCTTTGTTCAGTGATTTATGACAATGTCTAAAACTGTCATTATTCATTTTTGCCTAAATACATTTCAAAAATCAATCTTAACTAATGTAGCTAATAGAAATAAATAGAGAAATTTAGGAAAAGCACAGGTATCTGTAAAGCAGAGGCAGAAGATGTGTTTCTCAGGTTTCATGTGCTCTATTTTAAAGAACATATTTCCTAAATATAAGACAAACACTGTATCCTATTTAGATCTCTTGTGTTTCTGTAGATATAGATTTAATTACTGAAACTTTTTATCTGACAGTTTCATGTTGAATACATTCACAAAACTTTCAGTAAGAGAACCACACTGATTCCAAAGTAATATAGTATTAACTACAAAATAAGTTAGATTTTCTGCCCAAAGTCCGTTTGAAATTATTTCAGTACATCATAATTTAATTATTCTTGCAAGGAAAGTAACTCTTAGCTTCCTATGGGCATAGACACATGTATTCAAATACTAACACGAATAGCCTTTATAAAGCATAGCATATATCACCTGAGGTCTCTTGTCTTTCACAAAGTCCAGTGGCAATCTTTAAGATCCATTTTCTTCTCTGAATATGACAGTGGGTTCCTCCCAGTAAGTGCTGCTCTCCAAAATGGAGGAAACACAGTAACACTGTAGTCTGTCTACAGATGAACCAAGAAAGACTTCAGCCATTCTGAGAAATAAGGGAAGGGCAAGTGAGCAGCTCAGCTACTCTTTAGCGACTGCTCTCTTCTCAGGGGTGATTTACATTTAACTTTCATCACAGCAGAATTGATGAATTCTATTTGTTTAGGGAAATTATGTAAATACTCAAAATCACCAGGAAAAATTTAATTGATCCATCCTCTGAATACTGACTTTTAAAATTCTTTTAAGAAAACTTAATCTTTCATAAATTTCTGCTTTCAGACATGGTGAGTGGAAATCACAGTCATATTTCTTAGATGACTACAGTTACTCATATGCAATAGTAACACTCTCTCCTTTGCATCCTACTGCCGTGGCCCTCCCTTTTATATACCTTTTGATATCTAGCTGCTGGAATGCAAAACACTGAGATGAAAGTAATCCTGTCCAGGTGTTCAGAGTCTCCCTCCAAGAAAGACTACAATATTTGTACATGCATGACCCTCAACGTCTGAATAACTTGATAACTTCTACTGAGCTGAGCACTTAAAGGAAAATTTGTGTTAAATATCTCGAGGGAATATTTCAGAACACTAGAAAAAGACTCTGGTATAGTAGTCAACACTAGAGAGGAGGGGAAAAAGTGGGTGATACATAAGTGGGAATTTCAATCCCTATGTGTTCGTCTCTCCCTGTATGTTGTATAATACTATGTATACATGAGAGGATAAGAACAAACACAGCTATTTTCAATGAAAATTTGTGATTTTAACAATTATTGCAGTTGCGTTTCTTTCTGTGTAGATCCTAGTAGCATGCAAGTTCAATGTTAAGTACAGCATGCTTCAATCACTCAGAACATGTGCTTTTGTTCCTTTATTCATACATTTTTGCATGTTTTATTTAAATTACATTTGTGAATTCTTGTACTTCCTAAATCAGGCTAGGCACTATTAACAAAGAATCAAATCATGTGAGCTCTGAGCTTTGCCAGTTTGCTTCCCAGTGAGATCAATGGTGAATATTATAGCTATGTAGAAGTTCATCGGAGTACTAACTGTGGCCCAGTGGATTGCATGCCAGATTCTATCTCAATATAAAAATGGCTGGAGATGAAATTAAACTCCCTTGGTTCTGTCCTCAGTACTAAAAACACAAACAAAACAAAAAATGAGGCTTATGATGTATATGTATTAAGCTATGAATAAATAGATGCTAACTGCATCTGTCAATAACTGTTTTAGCTTTTAATTTGGAAAATTTAATCCATTTATGTTAGTTATT